CCATGAGTGGCAACCAAGGCCAGCAAGGGGGCAGTTTGTTGCTACCAGACCCACAGGGGGAGGGCAGTTAGGGGTGACCAGGCCGGCAGGCAGGTGAGCGATTAGGAGCCAGCGGTCCAGGATTGTGAGAGGGATCCCGGATTGGAGAGGGAGCAGGCTGGGCTGAGGGGACCCCCCCCCACCCCCCATGCACCAATTTTGTGCACTGGCCTCTAGTTTTTGATAAGATAAAATAGTCCATTATTTCAAAGATTCCATTACTGGGTATCCTTGTTATCCGCAACCATCTGATAAAGGTTAGTCTATTTAAAGTAGAATTATTTATCTAGCAAAACAAGAGGATTACAAAAATTATCCACTTAGAGGTGGATACAATAATAATTTCCATATATTCATAGAAGAGGATATTATATATAGAGAAGAAACATCTAAATAAATAAAGGTTACAAAGACATTTCAAAATGCAGTCATGTAAGAATACACAACCTATTGTTTATGTAAATTACCAATACTGCCATTACTAAACAAATTTTATACATATGTAAATACTAATATATGTGAATATATACATATGTGGTAATAATCTGAATGTATCTGATTCTCTAGTAGTGAAACCACCCAAAACGATAGGGAAAATATTAACATTCCATTTTACTGGTCCTTGTGGTATGAAATAATGAGGGAAATATGATGAAGGCATGAGGGAAAGGGAGAGGAGAGTGGCGGCATTATAACAATACATCCAGCCATTTGCCTGCTTTAAAAATGATATTGGATTTGTAAAAATATATCAATAATATTTTATGACTAAGTAGATTGTTTATTTCCAAACCTTGATATAGAATATCTTCATTCCATTTGGATGCATGGTACTTGTGCTAAAGTTAAAGATTTTTTTTTACAAAAAGTTCATTATCTGACAAATTTTATGTTGTTCTTTATGTTTGACAGCCCGACTGTGATATACCTATAGACCAATTATATTTGTGCACCCTTGATTGGGATCCAGTCTGCGGAACGAATGAGCAAACTTACGCCAATACATGCATTTTCTGCAGTGCAATGTTGTAAGAATATAAGGCTAAATATTGAATCTTCCAAAAGAATGAGGAAACCATCGCAAAATGATAGGAAAAGCCATGTTTCTGATAGCCTAGGCACAGTACATGGGGGGGGGGGGGAGGAAATTGTATTATCTCGGAAAATGCCACAGGATCACACTGGTACCTTTCCCGGGAGTTCTCATTTGCAAAGGCAGATTTGTATTGGGCTTCTCAATATATCTGCTGGATATTCTGGAAATGTACCAATCAATGAATTTAACCACAAGGACTTACTGATGGGTCTATGGCCAATAGATTGAATTCTGAAGTCCGTATGATACCTGATCATCTTTGAGATGTAGCATCAAGCTACAGGGAGCATAGCTGAGCAGCAAACACTGCTTGACCAGAGGAATTTGAGATCCAGCACAATGAGCCTTTTCATGCTGGGAAGGGGCCCCTCTGGGGGTCAACCTTGTCTCCTGAACTCCGTGATGGCCTTCCCACCTTCCTTAGAGGGCAGGGCCTCCCAGGACACTGCCACCCGCTCCTTTCGCATCTGCTTCTCGCCAAGGAGTTTGCAGTCTAAAGGTTCTACCAGTCTTCCCACTTCCCTCTTCATTGTCTCTCAAATCTGTTTCCTCTTATTTCATCCCCAACGTGGCTTCTACTCTGATAGAACCATCAAAACCATCTCCAGTCCTCGCCTCTCTCCTGTTGGGTGGTTTCCACGACTGAGCCAGGACTGACCATGTAGGAAGAGCCCAGTAGCCCCAGTTGAGGGAAGGATGCGTGAAGGGCTGGGAGGCACGTGGGTCCCAGCTGGTTGTGGAGGGAGCACAGCCTCTCCACGCCCTGCTGCTCATTTAGAAGCACTCAGGGCGGTGGTTCTCAACCTCGGCTGCACATCAGAATCACCCTGGAATCTTTTTAAAATCCTGATTTCTGGGCCTCATCCTCCGGAAATTCTGTTTCTTTGTTATGGGGTGGGGATACAACATCAGTGCAGCAAGATTGAGAACCACTGACTCAGTGTAATGCCCAGGCAGTGTTCAATGCTGTTTATAATAATGTCTCCTTCTTCCTCTTTACAGAGAAAGTAACAGAGCATTTGGATTGAAGCATTATGGGGCCTGCGAGCCTTCCTAGGGCCGTGTTAGCAAGCCTACTTTTCGGAGGACGCCACTCTGAGCCTTTTCAATGAGGGTGTTAAATTCCTAGGTGACTGGACAAAGCCTTCTGTTCTATACAAGATGGAGTAGAGAGTGTTGGAAATTGTCTCTCAACTCTAAGAACCTAGATTGATTTTCATTCTCCGTTTGATCATTAAATAGCAGATGAAAAACTACCTTAATCCTGTGTTTGATCATTTAAAACCTAATGCAACTTACAAAAATCATAAATATTTCCATCTATACAATACTGAATAATATTATCCTTATTGAAAATACAACCTTTTGTTGATTAATGGTTTAAGACACATGATTACTTCTGGTAACTACAAGTAACTACTTTAAAAGATTAAAAAATAATACGTTACCTGGGTGTTCATTAAAATTACAGACACTTGGGATCCTCTTTATCAGAAAGAGCCAAAGGCTCCAGAAGAGGGATCAAGGACTGGAGTTCTAACAAGTACCCAGGGGCAATCTTACAATCACGAATATTAGCCAATATGGATTTGCATTCTAAAACATAGGCCTTATCTATCATTGAATGAACTGCAAAGTCTATTCAAAAATATTGCATGATTTCTGAAGCTTGGGGGAAAATTACATTATTTTCTTTGTCACTCACATCAGTCAAGGCAAAGGTTGTTAGTGTACTTGATGTAATCTAGCTCCAAGGCCCTTATGAGATACGAGAGGCCCAGTGCACGAATTCTCTGCAGCTGCTACCACCATGTCATCCATGCGAGGAGCCCACCAGTCCTAGGAGGGCCCAATGTAATCAAGGAAAGGGTTTATCAGCTAATCAAAAGCTTTTTTTCGTTAAGGTTCTGCCCAATACTTTAAGGTGTGTACTACCTAAATGTAGCCTGTCTAGACCATATGGAATGAAATAATGAAAATAGGACTTGAGAAATGACTGAAGTAAATGACTGGAGAAAGAGCTTTGAGTATGTACTGATAGAAAGACAGACTATTCATCTTCTACTGCTAACTGCGAGTAAACTTCTGCTCTGTCACGAAAGGCTCTGATGGTTGAAAGCACCATCACTGTAAGTTTTGATTCAAGGCAAGCAGTGCTTCCTAATGATCATACCTCTACAGCGTCGTTCACACTTGACCAGGCAGTGCATTTCCCCTCGGTGGGAAATCTGGGTACATGCTGTCCCTTGAGGAATCTTGTGGAGGAAATCACAGATTGTTTAGATGATCCTCAATCCAACTCAGACAGCCAATGGCTACCTGAATGAGGCTCTCAGTCCACGCATTTTGGGTTTAGTTGACGTCACCTTACTCATGTTTGATATAGTGACAGAGACAAAGTAGTATACATAGCCATGCTAATTATATAGATGTTATATAACTTTTATGATCCAAGTTAAAATTCTCACTGTAGAGATAAAACAAGCTAGCCCAGAGAGACGGTACCTTCCCAGTGTCACTTCCTCAGTGACATCTTACCTGCACTTTCAGTTCTGCCAGTTGTTGAGGACATGCTGAGGAATGGAGGGACTCGGTCTGGAACATAGTTCTCACCGCACCGATGGGAATGTAAATTGCTGCTGCCACCATGGAAACAGTTTGGAGGTGCCTTTAAAAATTAAGAATGGAACTTACCCAGCAATCCCTCTTCTGGTTATCTATCCAAAAAATTGAGAACATTTATTTGTAAAGGTATAGGCACCCCTATGTTCATTTGCAGTATTATTCATGGTGGCCTAGACATGGGAACAACTGGTGATGATTGGATATAGAACATGTGGTACATGTACACAGTGGAATACTACTCAGCCATAAAACAAGATGAAATGCTGACATCTGTGACAACATGAGTGGATCTTGAAAATATCATGCTAAGCAAAGTAGGTCAGAGCGAAAATTAAAAAATATCTACATATGATTTCACTCGTGTGGATATAAAACTGAAAACAAATGAACAAACAAAAACATATAGATACAAAGGAAAGGGACAGAGGTAGGAAAGGGTAAAGGGTTCAAATATATGGTGAAGGAAGAAAACTTGACTTTGGGTGGTGAATATGCAACTATTTAGAGACTAGATGCCTGATGCACAAAATGCGTGCAAGAGTAGGCCCTCGCAGCCCGTCCCCTGCCCACTGTTCGTTCTGGATTTGGAAGGTTGTTACACCATGCAGTCTAATTAGCATATTAGGTCTTTATTATATAGGATGGTGTATTATAAATTGCACACTTGAAAGCTATATAATTTTATTAACCAATGTCTCCCCAATAAATGCAATAAAATAGAAAAAGAAAGAGAAAATAGTTTTCAAATGTAGATGTGCTCTAGAATCCCCTGGAGAATTAACACAGAACACAGACGCCCAGGCTCTTTAAAATAGGACAGGCCTGGGCTTCTACACAAAACCTTGTACAAAACCAAGGAAGGTAGAAGCGGTGAGAGGAGGAGGGTCCCTGTGGCCAGCTGAAGCCGACTGTGGATTAGCTGGAAAGGTGATGGGGAAAGTAGAGTTTGTATGACTTACCCTAGAACAGTGGTTCTCAACCTTCTGGCCCTTTGAATACAGTTCCTCATATTGTGACCCAACCATAAAATTATTTTCGTTGCTACTTCATAACTGTAATGCTGCTACTGTTATGAATTGTAATGTAAGTATCTGATATGCAGGATGGTCTTAGGCGACCCCTGTGAAAGGGTCGTTCGACTGCCGAAGGGGTCGCGACCCACAGGTTGAGAACCAATGCCCTAGAACATAACTGGTTAAATCAAGAACTTGTCAAACTGATATACCTCAGCCGCGCTAAGATGGCGACTCCCATGCATCGACTCCTCGCCCAGAGACCAGCTGAAGCAAATAAGAAACATGTAAGATGTCAGAAATGCTTGGAATTTGGACATTGGACTTAGGAATGCACAGGAAAAAGGAAATCCCTACATAGGCCTTCAAGAACAGCACAACTAAAGAAAGCTTTAAAAGAAAAGGAAAACCGATTATTATTGCAACACAGCATTGGAGAAGCGAATGTAGATAGAAAGACGAAGAAAAAAAGGTCTAAGAGCGTAACCAGCTCCAGTAGCAACAGCAGTGCCAGGTCAGCCAGTGATTCTTCATCAGAGAGTGAAGAAACATCTACCTCATCCTCCTCTGAGGACAGTGACACTGATGAAAGCTCCTCCAGTTCCTCGCCTTCAGCCTCCTCCACAAGCTCTTCCTCATCCTCTGATTCGGACTCAGATTCCAGCTCTTCCAGTAGAAGCAGCACCAGCACGGAGAGCAGCTCCGAAGATGAACCACCAAAAAAGAAGCAAAAGAAACAGAATCGCTCTGTCTGCATTGGACTGATGGACCATGAACTTGAATCTGATTCTCAAAAGGGATTTTAGAATATGTTAAAGCCAAATAGGTTTACTGGCCAAAATTTTGAGAGCTCAGAAGTTTCTAAGTATTTTACATTGTAAGAGCATAAAAAGTATTAATGAAATATATATATATATACACACTTTTTTATTTTAAGGGTGAATCTTGTTTTTCTTTTTATATTTAAAGTGTATCTCTAACACTTAATTAAAAGCTGAAATCCGGTAATTCTGTTTTTGTGATAAAACTTCTTTTTGCCCCGGCCCACATGGCTCAGTTGGTTGAGTGGCACCCCATGCTCCAAAAGATTGCTGCTTTGATTCCAGTCAGGGCACATACCCGGGTTGCATGCTCATTCCCTGGTGGAGGACATGCAGAGGCAGCCTGTCCATGATTCACTCTCACATCGATGTTTCTCTCTGTTCCTCTGCCTTCCTCTCTAAAAAAAAACAATAAAAAATCTTTAGAATAAAACAAAACTAAAACTTATCTTTTCTCCCTATGAAAACAATGCTATACTTTGTTATATGTTAGTGTTATGTATGAGACATATTTTCAGGATAATGTATCAGAATATCTGGCAGTGATTTCTGTGTATTATTATGTCATATTTAATACATTGTTATAAGCTTAGGCGTCTTTCTACTGTTGATAAATGTGCTCTATTTTTGTGTTTTTGTTCGGAAAGTTATTTTGTCTTCTGTCCTAAATGAAAAGTTCAAGGAACCTCTTAATATATTTCTACCTTTTTGATGGTACAAGTTTCAACTTACTGTGTTGTATCATTTATTTTCTTCTGGTTATTAGAGTTACAGTTATCTGAGGAGCATCATTCTAGAGAAACTTAAAAAGGAACAAAAATGTTGAAACTACTTAGGAATCTTGGTGCCTTTGGGTAAATTCAGTGTATCAGAAGAAGGTCATTTAAAAGGGTAACAAGTAAAAGTGATATAAATATATTTCTTTGTGTGTTAATACGCTATAAAAGGTACCATTCAAAGGGGGAAAGAAAGTAGGAGGAAGAAAGGTAATTTTTACAGAAAATGAGGGCGATGTTGGTTGCCTTTTGTTGAGATTTTTTAAGCTTTCATAAAGATTGCCTTTTACCACTTTTATGATTTTAGTAGGACAGTTTATGTGGTATCTGGTCATATACAACAATGTACGTACTACATAAATATGGTGTGTTAACATAGCACATACACAATTGAAATCTAGCATGAAAGGTTTAAAAATACTGCAAAATATTTTTTTAAAATATATTTTATTGAATTTTTACAGAGAAGAAGGGAGAGGGATAGAGAGTTAGAAACATCGATGAGAGAGATCGATCAGCTGCCACCTGCACAGCCCCCAGTAGGGATGTGCCCGCAACCCAGGTACATGCCCTTGACCGGAATCAAACCTGGGACCCTTGAGTCCGCAGGCCGACGCTCTATCCACTGAGCCAAACCAGTTCGGCTGCACAATATTTCTTAAATTACTCTGCTGTGGTAAGAGTATTTAACATCAGCCATAGTAACCAAAATTAATACGGTGATCAAATTCCCTAAAGAGAAGAGAAAGAAAAGATTAGCATCACAAGGAAAGTGGACATTGTTACACAGTCTCTTATCTTTCAAATGTCACCCTAGGAAAGAGAGCTGCTCTTACAGTTGCCTCTCTACCCGTCCCTTCTCCACTCCTGCTTGTCACCACCACAGCTTGCCTGTTTCTCCTCTATGTCGTCATTATTCAAAGTGTTATGAGAAATTTTCCCACAGAGGATCTTTCATCCCCTAACCCATTCCTATTCTGATACCTTCCCATTCAACGTTGCAACGCCAGATTTTTTTCTACCAGGAAGTAAAAAATAACTACAATAACATGATGCACAATTCACAGGGTTCACACACTCTGCTCCAATTCTCACTAGGTTTCCATGCCCATAGCTACAGTCTATTCTCTAATATTTATATTTTCCAGAAGTTAGCCTCTGCCTAACTTTCCATTCTTACATATCACTGTGCTCTAAATATTATATATTTAGATATAATTATATAACATTCCTTTCAACACAATTTTCTCTTTGTTTTCCTAAACGCATTGCATGTTTTATCAATTCCCAACGTTTTCTCAAGCAATGAGCCCTGTGTAAATTGCCTGTTCTATTTTCTTTTGCATGTTTTGTTTTGTTGAATGTTCACTACATTTTTTTTAAAAAGGTAATCACAATATATGTAGTCAGTCTGCAATCTTTTGTGAATAATAGTGGCTATTGAAGAAAAAAAACAAACACCCAAGCATTAGTAAATCCAGTTCCTTGGCTAAGATTATTTGACATTTCTGTGAAGAAATATAGAGAAAAAATAATGACATTTTAACTTGAACTTACCACTGAGCAAGACAAAAGAAACACTCATTCTGGAAAGTGTGGCCATCTGTAGCCCAAGCAGGGGCAGCTGTATCCGGGCACTTGGGCTCATCTGGCGCATCAAGGAGATCCTAGGGAAGTCCATCCTGCACGGGGCTGCAAGTAACAGGAAATATCATGTAGATGATGATTGATGGATTTCTCCTCCTTATTCCTATCCTGCCGCTACTGCCCCACATGGGCATAGCAACAAATATTACTGGTCAATTGATTTTTTTTCTTTATTGATTAAGGTATTACATATGAGTCCTTATCCCCCCATTGCCCCCCAAACCCCCTGCCCTACTAAGGCCCTCACCCCCTTCGTGTCTGTGTCCATTGGTTAGGCCTATATGCATGCATACAAGGCCTTTGGTTGATCTCTCCCCCTTACCCCCAACCTCCCCTGCTTTCCCTCTGAGGTTTGACGGTCTGTTCCATGCTTCTCTGTCTCTGGACCTGTTTTTGTTCATCAGTTTATGTTGTTCATTATATTCCAGCAATGAGTGAGATCATGTGGTATTTATCTTTCTCTGACTGGCTTATTTCGCTTAGCATGATGCTCTCCAGTTCACCATTCGCCATAGCTAAGATTTGGAAACAGCCTAAGTGCCCATCAGCCTAAGTGCCCAGATGAGTGGGTTAAAAAACTGTGGTTCATCTACACAATCGAATACTACGCTGCGGTAAAAAAGGAGGAGTTCTTACCATTACAACAGCCTGGATGGAGCTCGGTTGGTCTGTTCTGAGGGTTTTCTCTGCTCTGCTCTTCGGTCAGGCAGGTTTTTGTGTGTCTCTTCTGACAGCGTGCCTTTGCCCATCCCACCATTTCCTCAAGTATGAGCATTGTGACACCTCAGCTTCAACCCCAAGTGCAAAGTGTTCCTCTGAACTAGGAGTCCCAATGCCAGAAGCTCACCATGAGGAGTATGGGCACTAGAGGGCGTGTGATGGTTTGTCAGAAACAGAGTTACAGGTATGGAGAATGGAGAACGGAGCGATGATGGTTGCCAGGGGGAGCGATTTTGGGGGACCGGGTGAAAAAGGTGAAGGGATTAAGTAGTATAGATTGGTGGTTACAAAACAATCATGGAGATAGAAAGTACATCACAGGGAATATCTATAATAATAAAAGTGTAATATGCTAATTAGACCAGACATCCTTCCGGACAAAGCCAGGGCTGCAAGGGCCAAGAACCTTGCATGAATTTCATGCATCGGGACTCTATTCATCAATAATATTATAATAACTATGCATAGTGCTGGGTGGGCACTTGAAAATTTACGGTGATCATTTATGTAACTTATGTGGTTGTATAACCACCATGCTTTACAGCTGAAATACAAAATAATATTGAATAGCAACTTTAATTGAAAAATAAAATTTAAAAGAAGATTTAGGGTTTATATTGAGACTGGAAATAATTCCTGTATATACCACGGGTTAGCCTTTAACCTTGAATACGTGACAGGTATGGTTTCATTTCATGCTCAGAAGGATATTCCCTACCATCGTGCTGGTGTTACCTGCGTGTAAATATAAGTCTGGAGGTTCAGAGACTAGTACATGTCCAAGGCCGCACAGGAATCTCCCCATTCTACTTCACCACTATGAGGTTTTAGGACTCTTGTGCCAAGAGATTGATCAGGTTGGAATCAGAATTCAGAAATCAGAAACTTAAATTTACTGGAGGCCATTTAGCGGGGCCCCATGGTCTCAGTCCTGCAAATAAAGACACAATAGATTTAAGAAAGTTTTCCATAGGATATGATTTCACTTATTGAAGTTACTACCTGAATAAAGAAGTGTAATTTAATTACTCATTTGTACAAAATTATACAACAGAATTTGTGAGCGGTAACTACTTTATATATTTCTTTATTCTTTCTTTTACTTTCTACAGACCTGACTTCAGTTATAAATTTGCTGTGTCAATGAGAAAAGAGAAAAACCCTTTCAGGATTGTACACATAATGTGCCCACCATAGTATTTTCATTAAGTGACTTGGCTTTTGTTGGCTTTAGTTCCATCTTCACTCTAATTGGGACAAGTATACAGCTCAGTATGGCTTGGCTGGGTGTGGCTCAGCAGTGGAGCATTGACCCAGGAACCAAGAGGTCGCAGGTTCTGTTCTGGTCGGGGCACATGCCCAGGTTTTGGGCTCCATCCCAGGAGACGGCCAATTCATGATTCTCTCTCACTGATGTTTCTATCTCTGTCTCCCTCTCTGAAATCAATAAAAAATATATTTTTTTAATTTAAAAGTTCAACATGATACAGTATGTCAGGCCTTTTTCTATCAAGAGGCTGAATTGAAGTGAATGATGATGAGGAAACAGGAGTTCCTTGGCCCCAGAGAGGCTGAGGGATTCAGTGAACTGGTTTGGGTGAGCGGTGCTGGTGTTGCTGGGTGTGGGAGAATGAAACAAGATCTATTGTTAGTTCTACTCTCCCTTCTGTCTCACAATCAGATGGTATTTAAAATATCCAAGAACACATGTTTCAAATAGAGTGTTATGGGAAGTAAAATAAGTCAGACAGGGAAAGGACAGCAACTATGATTTCTCTCACATGTGGGATATTAAACAAAAAGCAACAATGAACAAACAGAAACAAACTCAACAGGACCCTA